GACTTAATCCTCATTTCGATATGATGGCTCACATTTAAAGGTAAAAAAAAAAGGCAGGCAGATTAGTGTTGAACTTATCAGAAATAGCTATGAATGTATTTGGGCATGTAGCTAATTTTACCAGTGATCGTTAATAAAAAGGTCACTTCACACAAGCTGAAACACATTTTAAACCCTTCTGTAAAAACTGAAAAACTTTGCTGGCTTGACAAAGATGCTGCAGAAAAGGCATCCACAAAATGTAACGACAGGTTTATGAACTGTGACTTAACAACGAGCTGCTGTGCCTTTATACTTTAACTGTTAAAAATGACACAGGCATTTCTTCCTGAAACACTGGTCTGCAGTTTCCACTTTATTCCTTTTACATCACCTGACCTGATGTCTTATTTGTAGTGTTTTTACCGCAGTGTGTTTTTAACTTATGAAGACTTGTTTTTGTTTAAAGCACTTTATTAAAACTAGTGAAACATTTCTCATCGGTATAACGGTTAGTAAAACATATTTATTAAGAATCCTGTTGAACATCAGAGGTCAGTAAAACCAAAAGGACTAGTTAAGACCACAGCTGTTGTGTTTGGCAGGAAGTAGCATCAAAARAAAGTAATTCTGTGTTTTGGAGGCYCAGAGCTGCTTAAAGGGTGSAGGTTCAAAACGTAAGAAAACATCTGCTGAGTTATAATTGTTTTCTTTATTTTTCCATTTGTTTTAAAGACCTGATGTATTGTTTCCCCAGTGTGATACTTTGTGAATTATATTAAAAAAAGATTTACACACGATATTATTAACGTTGTTTTTATTGTAACATTTTGAATTGAACAAACAAACCTCAATCTTGGAATAAACGCTGTACGAGTGCAACGGTTTTCACTTTCAGGAATAAAAGCACGTTTTAAAGAAAGTGAACACGGATGTTTCCAGAAAACGGAACCAAAAAAAAAATTAACCTTTAAGACTTAGTTGAAACGAATACAAATAAACATGCTGTAAATAAAGTATTTTCCTTTAGGMTTTTCAGAGAAAACATCACTTCTACACAACCTCAAATCCTGAAACGACTGAGCAGACACTCACGGGCACATTTCAAACAGCTCCTGACTGTAGGATGACTCAGAACTAATCACAGTAGATTAACTGCAGGTGAAGTGCATCACTGTCGTTTCTTTGGCTCATTTAGAATAATCAGATTCAAAAATTAAACGCGCTAAAATGTTTGCTGTTTTATCTCTTCCTAACGACTATGTGCATCAAAGATTTTGTTTATAACTGGCTCCTGGATCTGTTTGAATGTACGCATTTTAAACTCCTCCAACTATCAAATTATCTGGTGAACAGCTCTGAAACTTCGGCACATTTTTACAAGAAAAAAAAAGAAAAACAATTACTACAAAACAAAAGCATTAGTGAAAGACTCAGAGCAATTCTTGTCTTCCTTAATGAATGAACCGACTGTTACTCGATAACAAACACACTGCTGTTTTTACAACAGAGCTGCAAAAACAACAAATCAATAAAAACAAAAAATACAACAATTAGATGATGCTGAGAAGACGTACAAAAAAACCCTTCAAGAACAAGGATGCTGACATCTTTCACCATCTCTGCTGGCCTTCTGACACACACACACACACACACACACACACACACACACACACACACACACA